AAAAGTAATTTAGTATTACTATGAATACTTATTAAAAGAAATTGTATTTGAAATATATTAAGATAGTGTTATTGAAAGTCATTTTGTATGACAGACACACAAATCTAGTGGTCTGCATTATAAATGTAAGAAAAGACAAATAAGATAAAGCATTTTTGCAAATTATTGAACTTCATATAATTGTTAATGCATTTTTAAGGTGGTCATGCATCACTGTCAATCAAGTGAAGATTAGCATTACAGTCTGTGAGAATCTCCAGTTTCCAGATGTATAACTGTACAGTGTGATCATAACTGTATAAGCTAAATAACTGTTTAACCATGAAAACTTGGGAATAGTTGGACTATTTTAGAGGGACAGTCCGAGTTAGCACTTCAGTTGAATTCACTATCTATAGTATAGCATTGTGTTGAAGGAAAATGTTTAATCTAGCTGATTTGGTTTCAAACAAAACCATCACACTTACCCAGCAGTCCCAGCAGTGATAAATTAAATCAATGGTGATATTTTGACTGATTTAACCAAAAGCTTCCGTGAATTGAAGCTTCTGGGATTGTGTAACATATGACTGCACATTCCAATTATTAAAATTTTGTGTAATGTTTAGCAAAGTTGTGTAGTGTTTAGCAATGAATACATTCAGAGCTAGCATACTTCATAAGTTATTACATGTATCTTAGCTTGCTTGGTTTAATGGAAAGTAATAAACCTGAGAATTAAAACTAGAATAAAGTATTGTAATAAGTCCCCTTCCATTTTCACCAAGAGGGGACTAAAGGCTGACTCCTTTCTGTATGTCAATGAAATCTGATTTCTGATATAACTCAAAAGGAACAAAAGCAAGGTTCATCATACATGACATACACCATATAGAGATTTAGCATGTTATTACAATTTATGCTCCCAAAAGGAAGAGAATACAGTTGCTGCTTTAACCATCTGCCTGTATGAACTCAAGTATTATTATAGATACATATCTGTGTTCATTCCTTACAGGTATGTTCTTTTTGGGGAAAAAGGTTGCTCATGGGAGGAAAATATGTTTCTTATGATGTTTTTGATATGTTAGATGAATAAAGAAAAAAACCCACATTCTGAACGTAGGTAGACTCACACTCTTGTCCAGAATATGAATATAACTAGATAACTATTGAAGGGATTTCATGTAAACTTCACAAAGAGAAAGAGACATTTGAGAGGAAGTGCAGTGTTCAAGAAACATAACTCTACCTTGCTTAATGTTTTAAGTAACTCCCTTAGGTTAAAAATACTTATTTGGAGTTTTACTTCCAAAATATCACTGAAACTACACCCATTTGTACAAACTCGAATTTATCAAAATGTCAAGGAACCATTACTACATTCCGTAGTCTTTTAATTATCTCTCTTTATAATACATGTACTTTATAATGCCTGTCCAGAGAAATACTTGAGTTGATGGAATTTTATTTAAATTTTACACAGCGAAAACATCCAAGTGAAAGGAAGTGTTGTTTCAAAGAACTAGAATTTTTTTATAGCCTAATTCTACAATTATCATCTCTTATAATACAAAAATTTAACATATTTGTTGTCTGATGTATATATTTTCAATGATATTTCACTTAAACTCAACACAATTGTAGAGACTAGTGAGCTGAAGTGGTGTGTCAAATAACCAAAATTTTACATTGCTTGGTTTTTGAATTATCTCCGTTTATATTATTTCATGAAACTTATTAAGAGAAAGGATTAAAAAAATTGAAGAAATTTGACTAAAACTTCACACAGTGAAAGAGATAAGCATGAGAGGTGCAGTGTACAAAAGTCGTCATCAGTTTTAATGACATGGTCACATTCATATAATGTGATGCAAAAATATTGACAATTTGAGTGTTATCTTGATACTTGGTACTTGATAATTTACTATTTTTTCATAGTTTTGTCTCCCTTTATTATGGCATGTGTTAAAAAAGTCGAGCTTACAGTTTCCTCCGGCAGCTCTTATTTCACTTGTTGCTCTTGTCAAAAACGGCCTATAATAGTCTGTGATGGACCTACATATATTTTATATTTGAACATGTATATCATAGAATAATTGTATCAACTACTGTTCATTTACTAAATTGTGCACTTTATATTTATCAACCGACAACACTCTTCACTCATTGAATTATCTGCCCCCGAAATGGTATTTTTGATCCTTCAAGATCGTCTCGACTGCAGTGCCTTCAGCACTGTGATTCCGATATGTCAAATAGCCATTATCGGGTTCTGCAGAGTGCCCCTTTTTGTACGGAATATTTTCATTCGTCTAAGGTTTTCATATTACTCTCATTTTTGGATTGTGAATTTGGCAAATCGGAAAACACGGTTCGTTATAGTTTCATATGATGTTTTGATTGAACATTTATTACAAACAATAATATAATTTTATCATATTTATATGCGCAATGCAAAAATTTGAATAAACTGCCGTTTAGTCGGGTAATTTTGACAAACACCTGCAATCAGGTCTCTTACACTTGCGGTGACTTCGAGATTACATAGCTTCTTATAATTTAAAATGATTGTAATGACAGCTTTATCTCTTCAAGAGTAATCAATTTCCTACCATCTGGTACCATGATGACAAACTGTTGGAGTTATGGAGTTAATATTAAGATGAGTGCTGAAAAATGAGCGGCGAGTTGCATACCTTTACTAAATATATATGTATCTGTATATGTTTTTGTGGGAAGTGAAGGAAATTGAATTAAAAACATTTACAAAATATCAAAACATGTTTCAAATGTAAAATACTGCAGTTTAAATGGATTTAAGAGGTAGGATGCTTGTAGAGTGGGTGGTGTGTAGTGTGTGGGGGGGGGGGGTGAAAGCACCTAACACCTAAGGGTAAAAACACATTAAATTTAAAAAAATACTCATGATCAACAATTACGGTGTTTCAGTATTACATAACTAGAACTATCACTAAATGTGATTAATACCCCCACAAGTCTGCTTCAGAAATGAGGATGTTACTAGTAACAGAATACCTTGTAAAAGAATTGAAACATAGAGTTATGGTAATGGGCAATTAAAGATAATTGTGGTTCATGTATGTTGCATTTCCTTTCAATGTGGTTGGCCATTGATGAAGTTTAATTGAATTACTCTGTAATAAGTCCAGAAAGACAAAGAAAAAGAACAAAGGGCAATAACTCTAAAAATACTGAAGATAGAGTTATAGTTCTTGTGCACTGCACTTCCTTTTAATGTGCTTGACCATTGTATGAAGTTGTTTTGAATTCCAACCAGTACGTTTTAAGTTATGCTCCGGACAAGGAAAAGTATCAAAGGGCAGTAACTCTGCATTTTGTCAAAATGCAGTTATAGCTCTTGTGCACTGCACTTCCTTTGAATGTCCTTGACAACTGTCTGAAGTTGTACTGAATTCCAAACAGTAGTTTTCGACAAGGAAAAGTAACAAAGGGCAATAACTCTGTAATTAGTCAAGATGGAGTTATAGTTCTTGTGCACTGCACTTCCCCTTATTGTGCTTGACCATTGTATGAAGTTGTTTTGAATTCCAACCAGTAGTTTTCAAATCATGCTCTGGACAAGGAAAAGTAACAAAGGGCAGTAACTCTGTAATTAGTCAAGATGGGGTTATGGTTCTTATGCACTGCACTTCCTCTCAATGTGCTTGACCATTGTATAAAGTTATAATGAATTCCAACAATAAGTCTTCAAGTTATGGTCCGGACAACAGAAAGCAATGGAAAAGTAACAAAGGGCTATAACTCTGTAATTAGTCAAGATTGAGCTATGGTTCTAGTGCACTGCACTTCCCCTTATTGTACTTGACTGTTGTATGAAGTTGTTTTGAATTCCAACCAGTTGTTTTAAAGTCATGCTCTGGACAAGGAAAAGAAACAAAGGGCAGTAACTCTGTAATAAGTCAAAATGGAGTTATGGTTTTTTGTGCACGGCACTTCCTCTCAATGTGCTGAACCATTGTATAAGGTTTAATGAATTCCAACAATTAGTCTTCAAGTTATGGTCCGGACAAAAGAAAGCAATGGAAAAGTAATAAAGGGCAATAACTCTGTAATTACTTTAGGTAGGGTTATGGTTCTTGTGCACTGCACTTCCCCTTATTGTGTTTGACAATTGTATGAAGTTGTTTTGAATTCCAACCAGTAGTTTTCAAGTTATGCCACCGACAAGGAAAAGTAACAAAGGGCAATAACTCTATTATTAGTCAAGATAGAGTTATGTTTCTTACGCACTGCTCTTCCTCTCAATGTGCTTGACCATTGTATGTAGTTATATTGAATTCCAACCATTAGTCTTCAAGTTATGCTCCGGACAAGGAAAATGCAACGGACAAAAAAAGCAATGGAAAAGCAACAAAGGGCAATAACTCGGTAATTACTTTAGATCGAGTTATGGTTCTTGTGCACTGCACTTCTCCTTATTGTGTTTGACAATTGTATGAAGTTGTTTTGAATTCCAACCAGTAGTTTTCAAGTTATGCCCCGGACAAGGAAAAGTAACAAGGGCAATAACTCTGTAATTAGTCAAGATACAGTTATGGTTCTTGTGCACTGCACTTCCTCTCAATGTGCTTGACCATTGTATGTAGTTATATTAAATTCCAACCATTAGTTTTCAAGTTATGCACCGGACAAGGAAAATGCAACGGACGTCTGGACCGAGCGACCGACCGACCACCTGGTGACTCCTATATCCCCCCCCCCCAAACTTCGTTTTTGGGGGTATAAATATCTATTACGATGTAGACAAATTGAGTACAATATGAATTTTTTTTTGATATGACCGTTTTTGACACAGAAAGTGATAATGAGTCTAGAGGTAGATAACATGGTTTGATTATATTTTTGGGGGATAAAAGCGAGGCTAGATTGCGTACAATATGAATGTGATACAAACTTCTGGACTCGAGAAATGAAAATGAGAACAATTGGATTGGATCAACTAAAACAAATGAAGTCATGTGATTAATATCACTTACTTTGTTTAGAATCAATATATTCTTTTTCTTTCCCGTCTTTACTTGCTGTTTTCATTTTTTTATGTGACGACTCTCCTAACCCAGCCAGGTCTGCTCGTTCTTTATCTCCTTGTTCACGGATTTTTCGAACTTCTTTGTCGCATTCTTCATGCAGTCTTTTTACAGACGCACCAGCTTCATATTTTAATTGTGTCACTCCGTCGCTGATTTCTGACTGAAGATATAGAAGATCTTCTTGTTTTCTTTCTATCATATCTAGTTTAATTCTGTCATATTTCTCTTCTAATCCAGCCTTCATCTTGTCTTGAATTGCCTTTGCCACATCGTCTAGTACTTTTCTTATATCATCTTTACCAATGACTAAAGTGTCATTTTCTAACTGTAATTATAAATACAATGCAAATATGCAATATGAACAATTTGATTAGTAGTAGTAGAAGTAGTAGTGGTAGTAGCAGTAGCAGCAGCAGTAGCAGCAGAAGAAGCAGAAGCACTTGCTGTAGCAGTAGCAGTTAAAGAAGTAGTAGAAGTAGTTGTATTAGTTGTAAATAGCAGTAGTAAGAAGCAGTTGTAATTGTAGTAGTAGTAGTAGTGGTAGTATTGGTAGTGATGGTAATGGTGGCGGTTGTAGTGGTAGTAGTTGTTGTAGTGGTAGCAGCAGTAGCAGTAGCAGTAGCAGTAACAGTATCAGTAGTAGTAGCAGTAGCAGTAGCAGTAGCAGTAGCAGTAGCAGTAGCAGTAGCAGTAGTAGTAGTAGTAGTAGTAGTAGTAGTAGTAGTAGTAATAGTAAGTAGCAGTTGTAATTGTAGTAGTAAGAATAAGTCGCAAGTAGTAATAGTAGAAGTAGCAGTGTTTACCTCTGTCAATTTCTTTTTAGCATTCTGCGCATGTGTGTCTGTAGCTAAATATACTCGATCAGAAAGTAGTTTCTGTAATAATTTGAAGTATTTTTGAAGATCTATATCCTCTACTTCAAGTGTTGAAGAATGTCGCACTTCTCTTCCAATTTCTCTTGCCTGGTCAAAATTGAATAAGAATTCTTATTTACTTTTACCTAAAACCTATAGGTTGAGTATAAAATATACGTTTACTGAGAAACTACTACGTTATACATGTAGAAAAAAATACTGACTGGAACTTGTACATATAATGAATTGCCAACACGATAAGAGCTGTGTCGTATCTAGAGGTGTGGTCTGCTAGGGGTGTTGTGTGCTAGGGGAGTGGTTTGATAGATGAGTTTTCTTCTAGGGAAAAGTCTACTGGTTGCATTTACCACTCCCGTCTGCGAAGGGTCGTTGTCATATTTTCCCTAGAGTATTAATAATTGTGTAGTCTTACGCACCAGTATCCCTCTTTAACCCATTACGTTATATACACGCCTTTTAACGCCTTTTTCACCCCCCTCCTAATTTTGTTGTCTCAAATGGTGAAAAAATGCCTTATTTAGGCCCCCAACACTTGTTTTTGTTTGAGAAATGTTGTTAAAAAAGTGACCTCTTTTTCGGCGCGGCCCCCCAACCAAAAGATACATCAGTGGGTTGCCAGAAGGGGGGTATGACCCCTTCTGTTTGGGGTGGTATGAAGGGGGGCGGAGTCCCCCTCATCGCCAAGAAACGTTTGGACTTGTGAGAGGCTATAAATGACCCCAGATTGATCATAAGGTAACGTGTAACCAACGCTGAAAAGCATTTGACTCTATCTCAATCCATTGAGAAGTTGCAGCACTTTGAAATCAATTTTGATGGAAAAAATCAACGCAAAATAATGATTTTTGGCAATTTTGAGATGTCCCCTCGTTGCCTTGGTAACAGAAAATTTAAGTCTGAGCATGTTTTTACAAGGGCAATGGTCCAGTCAACATTTGTGCCAAGTTTGATTAGTGTTGAAGCAGTTTTTATAGTATTATAGCAATTTGAACTTGTAACGGGAGACTTTTCAATGAAAACAGCCAATTTTCACAAAATGCTCATGAAGTAATGGGTTAATACAATTATGATATCAAAATCGATATAAAAATTGTCTCAAAAATGGACATTCCGTAAAAAAACGTACGGAGGAATGAATAAGTGCTTGCTTACAAGGAAAAATGTAACAAAAAAGAAAAAAATACAATGGGCCATAATTTACCGAAAAATAATTAGGATGCACAAAGGCTCAGATGCACAAAGGCTCAGATGAATTTGGTTTAATCCACGGTGCATATCCATATCGGTACCCTCTTTGCGAAATCTGCTCAAACGGTACCCTCTTTGAACATGCACAGGTCATTCTATGCTAAAAACAAACCAGCGGTGGATAACAATCCAGTAAAATGTAATTGTAATAAGGAAAGGAGGTATGACACGTAGAAAAGATGTATACCACGGAACACTCTAATGTTTTACTTATGTGCTGATTTGTCATGTGCCCGATTTTCATGTACTGCAACTTCACAATAAGCTACAAAATATCGACATGTCTTGCCGCGCCCATCACCTCGACATATTTTTCGGGCTGAAATGAACCAGTGGCTTTATTATATATGCATCATACATATTTAATATGTTCATATAAATATCATCCTCGGACAAATGACAGTATATTGTCAAAAATAAATAAAAAATTCATAAAAACACCCTACTTTCGGTTTTGCAGCGGCACGGGCTACCTCTCTTCATTTGAAGTTTTATATCAGAGGAACCCTCTCATTTTTTAACACATAGGTACCTTCAAAGCACGACATATGCTTTTATTTGCGTTATTTGTTCAGTATGTATGTAATATTCTTTACTTTTATGTAAATATTACATACTCAGCGACATACTACGTGTCATACCTCCTTTCCTTATTATAATGACATTTTACTGGATTGTTATCCATCGCTGGTTTGTTTTTAGCAGAGAATGACCTGTGCATGTTCAAAGAGGGTACCGTTTGAGCAGATTTCGCAACGAGGGTACCGATATGGATATGCACCGTGTAATCCCCATGACCAGATAAGGAGTTAATACCTACTGAAGATCATTTCTCTATATTCAGAATATTAATTTGGGGTAAAAAATCACTATTCCGCCCTTAATACTTTTTATCACGAAACCATCTCAATAGGTATCTTGATACTTTGTAGTTATATTTCTTTTAAATTAAGTTTAAAATTGCTAAGAAGGTAAACATTCCTAAAAACACAGACGTTGCGAGCAGAATAAATTATTAATGATCACCTACAAATCCTTCTTACCGACAATCCCAAATGTAACAATGTGCTTTGTTTTCAGAAAGCATAACAACAATCTAAGTTTATTATATCTATCATACAATACTTTTGTATTTTACTTAACGTCACTGAAATATATAAATGTCGTTTTTGGTAAAAAAGGACCAAACGTAGGTCTTCCTAAATATTATCTAAATATTGTTTACCTCCTCAAACATATTCCTCTTATTATTCAGGTTCTCGTGTATTTTCCCCTGGAAGTCTTTGTAATTGAGAATAATGCTGATTATACCATTGAAATCTGTTTCTGCTGCAGATGCTTTATTTTTATACCCATCTGGAGGCATGAAGCATTTCGCCACTTCCCATGAATTACTACACCACTTGGTAGCATCAGTGTTTTTGTAAGATGGACCAGAGTACCTATGTACATTTTGTATCTCAGTTGTAAAATTATTACATATCTTGTAAGGGCAGCCGGCAGGGTTATACCTTGTTGCAGCATTTCGATGATAACTGCATTTTCCAGGTCCAACATTACATATTCTTTTTGTTGGACATTTAATAACATTTTCCGTACGGCAATTTGAACACAAAGTCCCGCTTAATAGTCCATTTTGGTAACATATATCATCTAAGCATTGCAATTGAAATTGCTTGATCTCATTACAAACAAAAGGTTCAATACCTTCTTTAGTAAACAACACTGCTAACTGAGCTTTAACCCAGTTATTGTATTTCTTTTCTAAAAGTTTAGGTCTATAAGAAGCCATTACTTGCAAACTTTATGTCTTTCCAACTTAAAGAATTATATACACTGGCGTGTCTTGTAAGCTAAGCTCTGAGGTAAACCTGAAAATATAATTATGTACAATGTCATAGTATATTATTACATTTCAAGAGCGATCTTTCACTATCATTTAAAGGTGTAATGCAATACAATTTAATTTAGATATGTATTCAAGGTTTTTATATACATTATGTACTGCATTGTTAATTAATGCAATTGCTTTCATACTCTTTAAGATAATAGTGATTGTTTCTAAAGAAATTAACATGCAGTTATTAAATGTCTAAAAATATAAATAGTTTCAATTGAGGCTCTTTCAATATAGGCATATATGTTTAACTTTGAATTTCATTTATAATGACAGAAGATATTCTGAAATCCACACAGCTTGATATAATTACGTTAATCTATTTTCCGTTTTTCTGTAGCTTAAAAATCATTTTAAACGACAATAACATTATTTACTAATATTACTACATTTTAAGCACTTATTATAACTGTTTATAGTGACATAATGCCTAGCCAAGGATATATGGTTAGTGAACAGGTGAAGGTCAAAATAATTTTACATTTTGCCATTATATTTTACAATTTTATAGCTAACTTCGCATGCACGATTATTCACTCACATGGCCAACGACATTTTTTAAATATTTATCGGAAACTACTTGTTATGTTCAATAAATAAAATGAGTGGGGCAGTCTTTTTATATTTAAGGCAAATTTATATTTTATCCTAAACATTTCCTAAAATCTATTGTTTGTCACTTACTATTTTATTCATTCGTTTGAACTATGTATTAATTTCATCTGAACTTGGCATATCAAAAATGACCATAATGTCACATTAACGAGAACTATGCTATTTAACCATGAACTAGTCTGTTTTGATCAAAATAGTCTTATCAAATATATTTTCACTGGAATAGGTTATATGCTACAACTTGAATGCGCTTTTCTTTTCATGATCTGTTTACATCAATATTTATGTACTGGTATCGAAGCAGTATCCGTCGGCTAGTAGTACCCGACAATACGGTTATGTTCGTTTACTGCAACTCTTCAAAATTGAAGGTGAGTTTTTTGAGAACAATATCATTCAAGGAAAACGTTCGACAGAATTTCTTCAATCTAAATTAAACATTTAATATATCGTTCTCACCTTTATATTTTACAAGCAGGTGTGTTTACATTTTCCGCATGAGGGATTTCACGTGCTACTGTTGCGCATGCGCAAATGATAACTCCATTAGGCACAAATTAAGACAAGTTTGCCCCCTTTGCAAGCGAATACAGACGACATTTCAAAAGTCGCTAATTATCATTCAAATTTCATAAAAGTCAATAAATATAAGCTAGAGCTATGTGTTGTTGATATTTTTATTCAACAAATATTGAAATAAAAGCAAAAATGGCAGAAATGGGAAACCCGCAGCAATTTTCTTCTAACCAAGGGAGGCAATACTGTTTATTATAGTCTATATTCTAACAGTAGGTTGTTTCCCGTATAGAAGGCTATTTTTATTATGGGGCACCTTATGGGGTGTTTAGAATAATTTTACATAATTTCGTTTATGTATTTTCGTACTTGAAATTAATGTGTTATGAATTCAATAAGTCTCGTGGTACAAGCATACGATATGTCCGTGAAATGTAAAAAGTCGAGTTTTGACCAATGACCGTGATAAAAAAATTCATTTTTTTCCTTCTTTTTATTTTCTTTTGTACAAATGTTCACATCAAAAATGTCTGTATTCAAATAGACATTAAAATTCGTACAGTTGTTTGACCGGTTCCGACACAGGTTGTCAACTTTGTTGTCTGCATACAAATTAACAAATTGTTTCAAGACCAAATGTACTTGCTAGTAGATATTTGATTCCACTTCAAACCTTTTTTTCTAATAAGAACACCGCTTCATTTAATCTGATTGTTTTCACCAGTTCCGGAGGTTTACCAGTTCCGGTGCACATAACAAACCATTTGTAATATTACCAACAAACCTTTTGTAATATTACCTAAAAAGAGTACAAGAATAAGTACAGACCTGCCTTTGAACAATCTTATCATTAAATTGCGTATACCCGGCAGTTTTACTAAACTTACATGGTTCAGTTATGGCCGAGGGGAGTTCAATACTACCAGAAAACGACGGCGATGTGTTTTGAAAAAAATAACATGAACTCAGACTCTGCGCTGTGTAAGATAAACTCTTGCGAACAAAATACAAGAACATTGCTGTAAATAAATTGGTTGGAACAAAATACAAACAATTGCTAAACGAAAGTGATTGACTTATAATGTACTGTTTGCACCACATATGATCGACCATTGATTAGCTTTAACCAACGTGTGAACACAACCTTCGTACTTCTGTTCTTGCACGTAATATATGACAACTGTCCTTACCATATACGATCTTTAAAAGTCAACCTTTTACCCTTAATTAAGTTTATGATGCACGATCGTTGTAAAAACTTATTTACATATGCCAAAATAATATTCACTAGTTGCAGATTTTACACGGTGCAAAATACACCGGAAAACGCTTCTTGGAGCATCGCTGAACGAAAATTTGTTCTTCCGAGTATCCCCCCTCAAGCCCTAGGACCTGCCCAGTTGGCCGTACGTATCACAAAATCGTGACATGGTCAAGATAAAAAATAGAATTTTGTTTTGCGATTGTGCTCGAACAATATTTATTCCAGTCCCATTAGTGATAAATACCTTCTATAGATAATCTTATTATTTACTGTTGATTTTATCTGGGACAGAACGATCTTCTGTCCCAGATTTTATCCATAAAACAGATATGTTAACAACAATTTTTAGATCAAGTAATAACTGTTAACACTGACATAGAAATCGATATTTATTTGTTCTTTCTTCTGCATGTTATCTTATCATTTAGTTTTCAGAGGTTAAATGTATATTAATTACACTACACGTAGATGTGCTTTCCATAAATAAGAGCATAGCGTATCTTAAAGACTCGATCCTACTATTTTAAACAGTTAGCGCTTTTTAAATAAATGATTATGCTTTTACTTCAAAAGATGTTTATCTCAACAAAGTTGTTGGCAAACTTTTTTTACACACTCTTTCATAAATTCCATTATCAAATAACATTTTATTTCTAATAAGAACACATGGAAAAATGTTCATTGACAGAAATCCTGTCATTAAAAATACATGCTTCGGAACTACATGTAGTTAAATAAGGTCTCCTAGTTTAAACAGGTATGAATATCTTTATGTTAAATTTTTGCAAATATTTTTGGATGAAGTTGTAAGGCAGATAACAACTTTTCCTTCAATATATAAACTGTGTCCCTTTCTTTCAGTTTTACAGTACCGATATACCAATACCAATAAGATTGGCGAGATGAAATTTAGCATTTTTGCCTAAATCAGACGAAAATTATAAATAAGAAGCCGAAATAGAATGATGATTTAATTATTTATTTGTTAATGTCAATAAACTACAAAACCAGTGAATATTTTCTATATTTTCTATATTTATTGTCGGTTACGTGAATGGCTCGCTTGATTGTTCGGAACTGGTCAGTGCGCCGGAACCGGTCTGATAATAATCTCGGTAAAAATCACTGCATATGTCATATTATGTCTACCAGGTTTTCTGAATTATTACGATTAAAACCCTAAATAAAGCAATATTATTTGTCTAAAGAGGCCTTCAAAAAGTCTTATTATAACAAAAACATCGATACCGATTTATAAACCCGCAAAATCGATGATTAAAAAAAAAGTGTCGGAAACTGCTTCTGTAGCGAGGCAATTACGGCTAATTTACACCTCCAGTTGGAGCCCCATTTTTGATGCGCATGTCTTACTCAGTAATCCGGTTTTTATTTACAATAACAATGCATGACCTGTATTTAGTCATATCAAAAGTTTATTTAAATTGGAGACGTTGTTATTGAGAAATTTTTCAATAACCTCATATTTTTATCGGAAACTGCTTCGATACCAGTATAGGGGTGTCAATATTCCTTATCTAAAAGTATAATATCTATAGCCTAAATCTTTAACTACCTTATCAATTACTAGTTATTATGCATTTAGCATAATATATAGCGCAGTGGTAGAATATTCGCTCTTTGAGTGTACAGCCCATGGATCAAATCTGGGTAAAGGCATTTTTCCTTTCTTTTCGTTTTTATTTTAACGAATTGAAATTTTGATACCATATAATCACATTCAGACAATGATATTTCAGAAACATATTCACATACAACAGGTTAAGTATAAGACAAAACAGCACAGTCGTGATTAGGGTGAAAAATGAACAATAGAAGAAACATATAAGTACAAATTATTGAGCCAAAACTGTTAAAAATGTGGCGAATGTAATTCAGTGTTTCAAACAGAATGACATTGATGATACTTATCTATTAAATCTGTTCAATGACAAATAAAGTACATTAAATTTTGCTTAACCGTCATAAGTTTAACTTTAAAGTGTTAAAATGAAAAGTTACGTGACACACTCCTGAAAGTAAGCATGTGCATGTGTTGTAGATTTGAACTCAAACTCGAAAATAACATGTTTCTTTATAACCTGAGTTCTTCATTATCTAAACTCTTTCCAATACGCTTCTCGGGTTTACGTGTCCATATCTATACTTATTCTTCTTTTTTGCAAAAAAAATTCAAAATGTAATAATTGGAGAACGTTAACCACCAATTTTATTATACTGGTACAAACTATTAATGTACACCAATCGAGTTCGGCTTAAAGTTCAGGTATAAAATAAGTGAATAATGACGTTAATTAATGTATCGTATTTCACAATATATAAAGACTTTATTTAAATGCACCAATAATTATTCTAAATGTATTGTTTGGCGACATTAACGCGAGACTCATTAATTTTCGGGAGCTCTTTTCGTGTGTTTCCGTAATTTACTACGATTTACTAACTGATTTTGAGATTAAAAAAGTTCTCGGTACTTTATACTTGCGTTCCGATGGCCTGGTTGAAAGTTTGATAGCAAAGCAATCGATAAGTTGCAAGTTCAAACCTTCAATTTTCTTTTTCAAATTGCTTTGATTATATTTTGTCATATGCAGCATTAGTGGATGAATAAATTCTTTAGTCTCTTATGTCTTTGCTTAAAAGAAAATACTTACATTAAAATACAGAAATTGATGTATATGTAATTTTTCAGTGTTTCAATTTGTACAGTCGTTCAATTGGGTGATTGGAAGGCAAAAAAACTTAGTTATAGTCAAGTTTCGAAAAATTTAATTAAAAACAAATCATAAAAATAATTTTTCATTAAAATTCGAACCTACAACATTGAATTATAAACACAGAGTTTTAACTCCTTACTTGACATGAACCATGTATACCGTTATGTTATACGTTTTACTTCGGAATCCGATTATTTATTTAATATTAACGACGAAAGGTCATTGAATGTTCAAATGGCTCAGGTCAATATTGCCAAATAATACTGTCGACTTAAATTTGATCGAGAATGGGAAATCTTAAATTTAAGATACACAGGGGTGGCAGGAATAGGCTATAATATTATTCGAAAACGCACAAACAGTTGAAATAATGTTATATAGCCTGTAAGTGTAGTGGTTATGGTGTCGTTTTGCATGCGGAAGGTCGTACGTTCAAATCCCAAAATGGGTAATACTTTTATTAGGCTTACTTTATATTTTATTTCTTTTTACTTTTATTATCTTTTTTCAAAGTACAATCGTAAATCACAGGTCGGTTTTTTTAAACATGTGTTCGCTAGAAATGTATATTTTTTGACAAAATTTGTACGAGGTTTGTATTTTTTTAGAGTAAGAATTGAAGAGGTATATGTTTTTTCCGGACATCCCTCGTAAAAGGCGGTTATTAAAGTTTTTCAAGCCTAAACTACCAGTATGTCCGCATATCACTATTCAAATAATCACGAAAAAAAAAAAAATATTTGTAGATCTACATTTAAATTCTTTTTAAACAAACTTGTTTCTTAGCGTTTAAAAGTAAAAAAAAAAAAAAAAAAAAAAAAAAAAACAGATTGAAAAATTGAGATGCTTTATGAAAATGCAATGCAACAGCTATAATATCGATCCTTAAATTTGTCCGATACAAAATGTAACCCCTTTATGTAGAGACTACGTGTTTATGAATAATTTAATTTTAGCCTGCTTCCTTCATATTAATAGAACTCCATTGCGTTTTTTGGCATATCGGGACTGGTAATTAATTTTTCGGTATTAATTTTCCATTTGCAGAAGGCCAATACCGTCAACTTGTGTTTGAAAAGGCAGTGAATTATGCGCTGCTAAACTTAAGATATATATGGTATTGTATGCATGTAACTGACAGACACAACAGATCAAGCTCACATGCATGACTATAGAAAACTGAATTTCTTCATCTTAATTGCTCTATTTAAAGTGCAATTTGGTCGTACTGAATCATCACAATTTGTATTGTATCTGCGTGTTGCTAAAAAGCTTTTTCGATGCACATACCGCATTAATAACTTTTCTTTCTTGAGAAAATATTAGAAATGATAGTTTAACGTCTCAATTCCGACTAAAAGGACGCAAAGAAAAGAGGAATTGATAAAAGATTGACCTTGATTTTCTGCCAGAATGTTAGCCACTTTCATGGTATTTCTGCCATCGACGGCAGCATTTAAAATAAAGTATCTGCCTACAACGATAGCATTTTTTCTTCGACCGGACCAGATTGAACGTATGTAAAACTTTCAAGAAAAGACTGGCGGGGTAGATATTTGGCTTGCGTGACCCCAATGGATGAACGTCTATATTTATAACACGAAATCCTGCCATTTAGTTAAAACTTGAGATATTTTGAACAAAAAACAGACATTTTCATGGATTTTTCCGAAGCTGCCACTTTTAACCAGCTCAAAATAGTCTAAAACAGGAAAAACGAGTCCAAATTAACCTCCTAATAGTATCTCCAGTCAATGGACAAAAGTTTCATAGCAATGAAATGGGCCGTATTTATTGTAATATAATAATACCAACCAAATTTATAACTTACCTGTACCGAGCGGTAAATTTTTTATCTATCTGCCATCACTGCAGTGATCTGTCATCACTGCCGCCGGTAATACGGTGTGGAAAAGATAAATAACAGGCATTCAGCAGGTGCGCGATTACGTAGTATCCTACCATTATATCCAAATTTATATATTACACTATCGATTTGAATCGCCGCAGTACTGCGGGGCGCTTAAAGGGATAATGTACCTGATGTTTAATATATCTACTTATCGGTAGTCGACCAATTAAAATTCTATGAAGACTATTTAATTTTATAAGTTCTTGATACTTGCAACAAATTAATGGTTTCTATGAATATCGTCCTTTAGCAATCCAGGTCAAAATTTGACATTAAATTCCTGTATAAAAAAGAAAATTCAAAAATGAATTTTTAACAATAATCATATGACTCTTGCATATATATATTGCAACAAGTTTCTAAAGAACTAACCTCTTTTGGTTTCATTTCGAATTAATTCATATCCAATTTTAAATCCAAGACATTTTGAAATATAGCTTTATATGGGTAACTAAATACTTCAGGCAGTTTTATGTATTCTAACCTTAAGTATATCATTCAACACGTAAAGTTAAACACTCAAGATAAAGTATTTAACACAAATAACACTGACGGGTTGTTGTAAATCAGATAAAAGTTTATGATCCAATTGAATCTTCTCGGTCCTTTCCGTAAAACTTCGGTCAAGGTTATTATTAATAAAATCCGAGATGTTCCGTATGGATATTGATATATTGCACCTAGTTAATCGTATAGTATTTAAATATGTGAACTATTTAATATTTGTGGAGGGAGACAAAACGATCAATAAGTAGGCATTTGAAATACATACAACATACACGGTTATTTCCCTGTATAAAACTTGTCTTGCTGGTAGATATATTCTACATTCTATTTTAATGAAGAGTGACTTTTTATCAAAAAGAAAATGTAAAGTTATTTGAATTTTATAATTAACTGCTTAAATGAAGAGTATACCCCCGCCATAATGATATTATAGTCCTTTACTTTGTAATTTTCTTGGCTAAAACGAAAGTAATCATTTATAACCTATAAGAGTTGTGAGAGTGCAGGTTACACAACAACACAAGAATAGGTATTCGCATTGTTTCAATATCGAGAATAAACAAGGAGAGATTAAACAACAGTCACTCCCTTATTAGAAAATTCAAAGCTTTGTCTCCCCCATACTTAACTCCCGACTATTTTTGTTAAGTAGATGAGCCTTGGTGTAGATCGTTTTAATGTACTGTAATTATAAAACGTAATACTTGAAACAAATTCATATTTGCTATATTTCATGTTACATGCATTGCAGGTTATCTATCACACATTAGCAATGAAACATAATCATAATTTTAACTGTATTATAAAAATATATTTCAATGTTCATTATCTGCTATTTAACACAAAATGCAAATATTTTGATAATTTACAGGAGTGTCAGCTAAATTATTTTGTACTTCCCCAGTCAGTATGCTATGAGTCGGCTACGCAACCCTACGTGTGAGGGGGTTCGTAGTATGAAACAATGAGTCAAGATAAGCCACACTCCGTAAGTGTCCTGACATGAATTGTTGTACAAATAAAAACCTAAGAACATAATCAATTAAATTGGACTATGAATATAAGCCTAAAACGTGTATTTATTGATTGCATATCTTTCATTAATTATTAATGAAAGATATGCAATCAATAAATAATAACACATGGCCAAGAAAACAAACTTTCAAATTATGATGTTTCTATAAGAATACAAAAAAGACAACACTGTCTTCATATAAATATACATGAAGAAACAAATTCATATCAGAAATTGAATAACAAGCCCTCGGCTATAATCTTGACCCCTGGTCTAAGTTAATTCTGCATTAAAATATAATCAAATACATGAAATAATTCACAATTTCCAATGCTACGCTAAGGTCTGGGCTGTCATACAAAACATTGGATTTGGGCTGTCATACATAAACATCTATTTCTTGAACTATTAAAAACATAATTGCAATAAAAATACTTAAATATAAAATTTGTGTTTAATTCATTCATAACAAAGATTTCAACGTACACTCTGCGAAATACACTTGAACAATACCATTTTTTCATATTCACAGATCATTCTCTGCTTAACACAAGGAGACGTAATAAAATAATCTAGTAAATGCTCATTATACAAATGGGTCAAATAAAAGGTGGTATGTCGAGTGAAAAGAAGTATACCACGGAACAATTACTTAGAAGGTTTAAAGTTTGTTTGTTTAAGGAATTTGTCCCTTTTTTGATTACTGCACCTCCAAAATAAGTTACAAGTCGCCCCACTCACCGCCTGGATATGTACATTGGGATAAAATGAACTTATATCACAAGATGCAACTAAATGAATTATATGTTGGGATATACCTTTATAAGTGATAATCATCTTTTTAATTAATAAACTTCCATAGTTAAGTGTCACTGTCACTCATGTTACTGAGTGAACTGCCCCACCCACGCCCCCCCCCCCCAAAAAAAAAAAAAAAAAAAAAAAAAATAAAAAAAAAACGCTAAAAAAAACAGAAAAAAAACATTGTTACAGATATATTTGTTTACTGCAAAGTGCAAGACTCTTAACTTAGTGACCAGGTAAGTGATATTTTATTATTAGCTCGACTATATAAAGTATATGGAGAGCTGTCCTACTCGCCTCGGTTTGTAAGTCGGCGCCAGCGTACATACTTTAAATTAATGCATATGTGCAGTAAATTTTTTATTAATGCATATGTGCAGTATTTTTTTATCTCCAACTTTTTTATTAGCTCACCTGAGGACAATGTCCATGAGTCAAAAATTTCTTATAACAACTTCTTCTCCTTAACCACGCAAGTCAAATTTGTTTAAACTTTTGCAGGAATGTTCCTTGCATAAAGCTCTACCAAAGGTGTTCAAAGAAAAATTGAACATATAGTTTTCCATAATTTAATGTTATTTTTACTCTTACATCTTCATTTCATAATAAGGGACTGACTTAAAACTTCAAATATGTGTACCTTACCATCAACTACATTATATGTGACAATTTTTGAAAACTCTAGCACCAATAGTTTTTCAGAATCATTTTTTTTTTCAAAATGTTACTTTTTACTCACTTTTTTATTTCTTAAGGTATCTATTTCTTACTTAAAATATATGTTCCTTATACATGTGTGACAAGATTCATAACTTTAGCATGAATATTTCCAGAATTATTTCCCTTTGAACTTAGATGTTTTTTTTATATATTATTTTTATATATTGATATTATTTACTCTAACTTCTTTATTTATAAAATAATTTACTTGTAATTTTAAACAATAACATGACAAGCTTCATAACTCTAGCATCAATCTTTTCTGAATCATCAGCCCTTTATACTTAGAATTTTCCGCATTAAATTAAGACTTCAAAATATGTTTCTTAACACCTATATCAGGTGCGAATAGATTTATGACTCTAGCTCCTGTATTTCTAGAATTATCTCCATTTCATTTTTGAACTTTGGATTCAGTGAAAATTCATATATTTCTAAGTATTATCTTTGTTATTATACTTGACTTAAAATAAGTGTTCTTTGTCATTACTTACATCATGTCTGACAAGGTTCATAACTCTAGCATGTTCATTTCAAGAGATATTTCCTCTTTGAACTTATATTATAAGTTATTAACTTTACTTTAAATTTATATACTTTTTACTTTAAATTAATATACTTTTTTCTCTAATTATTTTCTTTCACTGAAGGAATAGTTTTCAGATTTCAAATTATTGTCTTTTCCATTAGAGCATGGCCATGTCTGTTTAACATATAATGACATGGTCAAATTTTATTATGAGGTGCAAAAATATTCAACATTTGAGTGTTTTCTCGTTACTGATACAGGAAAAAATCTATAGCTTATCCTATTTGAGTATTTTTTTCACAGTTTGGTCTTCCGTTACTGTGTCTAGTATTTAATTAGCCAAGCTTGTCTTGTCCTGTCCTGTCCTATCTAGCAGCTCTTGTTACTTTTGGTGTCCAGTTATGGTTTCTTAAAAATAACTTAACTGTCATTAATTGTTTACTATTGTTTGCTCTCTGGCAATTGGTATAGTTAAAATGATTTAGTATTTTGTACGGAAGTCAAAATACTACTTTGTTTACATTCTGCTACATTTTTTACGTTTTTTTACGATCAGAGCTCTTTTTTCTACCAAATTGAATGATAAGCATCAATAATGCTTTGAACCCATTTTTATTACTAAACATTATTTTGCACCTTCTATAAAAAAAGAAAAAAAATATTAATGGATGAGACATAATATGCCTTTATTTATAAAACTGGAAATCTTGGGTTAATGCGTAGGACTGAATACTGTAATATACATTTTTCATGACTCGGTGCTCATTTTATCAGATTTGAAACCATTTTGCTCGCTTGAACACGTATGCAACCATTTCACGATATTTCAAATATTGACAAAGAAGTTGTACAAATACAGATGAGAAATTTTTTATGATTATATAAAATTGAATATGCAGAAAACTATTAAATCTTGCAGTTAATATTATTTAACATTATTTATCAGGATCGATATGTATATATGAATATAACATGAATAACTAAACCGAAACAAAGTAAAAAACATAATTATATTCTAAGGGACTTCATCAAAACAGAATTTATTTATCGTTGAAAGTGAGTAGTCTCCTTTCCGTAGACGTTAGAATAGAATTAATGCGCAGACATTAACATAATCTTAAAGCATGTTTATTTCAGTGGCAAAACATTTAGCAGTATGACTTGCTGTGTTAGAGGAACTTGTTTTCACAAAGTATCACACATATTTATTTATGTAAAAGAATCATATATTTCTGCGTCAGTGCATAATGTTTGTTACCTAAATACTATTTTCTCGGATAAAACAAAATATTTAAAAGAAAGGAAAAACATTACCGTAAGAATACAATGTTATATATAATTATGAAAAAGGATGTCACGCAACTATGACGTCAATCAATTAGTAACATATTAGAGAAATCAACGCTTTTCCTCTGGCTTATTGTCCTTAGCACGTTACAGTGGTTGTCATTGTACTAAATTGTTCAAAATGTGTCTGAACTCCGATTGTCTCAAAATGATATGATTCAAGATTTTATTTCAAAAGGCATAAACATTTTACAATGTCCGTCGCTATAAACAGAATGACGGTTACAAATAGTATATGAGAAAAGTATGTAACTGTATACAAATAATTTTTACATTAACATTTTTATTTTTAAAGAACACATAATTATACATTGTATTTCAATTTATGTTTGTAAATAATAGTATGCTATATATACCAATATCATGTTTTGAAAACAATCAATCATTCGTTATATCACGTAATGCATTTGCAAGGTAGATATATTTTCATAATCTA